GTCCCTCTCTATTTAGCATATAATTCATCTGCAAGATCCTATAAAAAGCCTTATTTATTTGAGAACATACATGGTCTATATGTGAACTAAATTTTAGGTCACAATCTAGATGGGTTCCAAGAAGCCTCACACATTTTGCAAAATGGACATTTGGTATAACCAGGTTTTGTGGTATAGATCTAGAATAAAAATTTACGAACTCAGTTTTTTTAGTATTTGAGACAAGACGATTTCTTTTGCACTAGATGTTGGTCACACAACATTCAATTTTTGATGTCAGTTGCCTCAACTGCAAGTGCGGTTTATATGACCGCAAGTCGACCACAAAAATGTGGTTGGGTCAACCGCGAAGTGCAGTTAACGTGGCCACAATGTTGTGGTTGCCTCAACTGCAAATATGTGGTCCATGTCCGTGTGCGGTTGAGAACAATTGAAACACAAGTGGGAAGTTATGAATTTGTTCATCTGTGATTGGCCTCTAAGGTAGTGAGTTATGAATCTGAGCATCTCTGATTATTTTGGAGAAGTGAGTTTGCTTTCTTACTCAACAGAAAATGGACACATGATTCACGCTTTTTTCAATAGTCATAGAAAAACAAAATTTGTTTTATGAATATTTTAGACAGAGATCGACATAAGTCTGTAACCATAAACAGTATCATAATAAACGAGGCTTCCAAGAGCAGTACTTCAGAAAGTCAAGACTTGACAACGATCGTCTTTTTCTGTACCTTTTACTGAAAACAAGCAATTCAATGACACTATAATACAAACATTTTGCATGTATGCCTCAGCTTCTATATATGCCACAATAGCGTCTTCGTAAGTTGAGATGTCGTCGCCCTTTCCTAGTCAGAGTGTTTTTGCTAAAGTCCAAATAATTTAAAAGTGGCATCCATCACCCGCCAAGTATCACTAATAAATGATATGTAAGCAGATAGAAACAGCTCTCTCCTCTATAGGATCATTCATTCATTAGAAAATTTTGCTACATTAAAAAATTTTCTAAAATACCTCCAAAAATTTCAAAAAAATTATCCCATGCTTATTTTTGTATCCTTCCATTCTGCATATACTAGAAAACACATCCGATTTCTAGGATTTTGAAAATTTTATGAGTTATCATAGTTATCAAAAAATTATCCAGCATTTTTAAACATATAAATGGAACTCAATTGGTTTGTCACGGTAATGAATTTGATTTGCTTTGAAAGTTATCAAGGAAGTTATGAAGTCTTTATTTGCTGCCAGTTTTGTCTTGTGCAATATAATAAATAAAAACTACCTACCACTCAATAATAAATATTAATAAATGAGAACGGAGATTGTAGTAATTACTCGCATTTATTCGTTTTGATGCCAAGAGAAAGTAGTTCTAAACCAAAGTGCACAAATAATAATGGCTTCATCGAAATCAAATTGCAATGGACTGAGCAATTTCAGAAAATGGAAGATAATGGTTAACATTCTTCACTAATATCAAACATTCGACTATTGTTGTCGTTTTATTTCATGATTCCTGGCCTTTTTTGACATTGAAATATTTTTTATACAAAAATGAAAACAGAAATTTTCTCGTTATCTCCTATCCGAGCAGATGTCCTAAAATTAATATTTTTTTTTTATCTTATGGCTAAATTCAGCCGTTTTCTGGTTTGAAGTAGCAGAATATCCGAAACAACCATCGGATGGATGTTAATTCACTCAACAAATTGCACAACAATTTTCACACGAACACTTTACCAATCCACATCATATTTCAATATAGTAGAATCTACCTAGGGTTATTATTAGAAAGGTTTCGACGGTTGGCCCCTTTTCCGAAGCTCCGATACAAAGGAGGCGGATTGGCATCAAAATAATCAATGACCAAGAATAACATACAGCCTTTTGCAGTTGCCCGGCTAAGATTTTTACCTTAGTAAAGGCGATATATTCGGCAGGTTCGAGAGTAGGAAGAGGTTCGTTTCAGTGAAGACTCCTATTAATCCGAACAATTATCTCAAAAGAGTGATATTGATAGAGTCAGCAGAGTTTGAATAAAAAATGTTTCACCTGTTTTTCATTCTCTTCTCGGACGTTATTGTCACTCGAAGCTAATAACTCCAAAACGAATATCTTTTACCCTCAGAGTCAAGCATGACCACATTAAGCTTATTTGCTTGTATCTGCCTACTAGTTCAAATAAACTCGGCATTTCTCAGAACCCACAATATTTTGTTGATAATGATATATTGGACATCAAATGAATGAGATTATTAGGCGCCTGCGCCTGATTTCAGGAACCTGTATACCCATCACGTGACTAAGGTATTGAATATACCATCCTGGCAGGCCAAGGTGAACCCACCGGTTAACTACTTCAGCCCACTAGACCTGATGAAAGCAAAAGTTATGTGTTTTGATAAGACGAAATCTTGAATGTTATTCAAAAAGTAACAGAAGTAAAATGATCTCTGCGGCTTTTATGTAGCCCTTTTGCTTGAGGGATTCCAACTGGGTGACAGAGTTGTGGGCATCTGTCGAAAACTAAACCAAGTTCATTTATCCCTCGGGCAGCTGCCTCAAAAAAAATCCAATTCTTCGTCTTAAATGGTCCCAGACCTTGCAGAGGAGGGGATCCGAACTTCGGATAACTTTACAGACTCCATCCAGTACCATACCAAACTCAAAAGCGCCCGGTCACCTTGCAGGAGAGACGATTCGAGATGCAAACTTTTTTAGAAATACCTACATAAATTTTTAGGTATTTAAGTGGAGTTGATACAGCTCCGCCCGAGTCCATCTCACTACTTCGAAGAAATAAAGTAAAATCAGAACGGCTAACATATTTGAAGCAGCAACTTTGTTCTTCCGCGACAATTCTTTTGACCAGATCTGTTGGAGGTTGTGCTAAACCTGCCGCGAAAAAAATTCTTTATTGAGATTCCCTTTTGTGGTTGGCGTTGTTCCAACCCGACTAAGTATTCTTCTCTCTGGTATTCAGATAGTCAAGGATGCTTCCGTCTACGAGGTGTACATCATCTCCGTAATCGGCGTATGGCTCTCTCTTGAAAGGAGCTGTTGCACATTTGCCTATCACGAATTCCATATCGGTAGCCTGCCTGTACTTTTCGACGACCCTTATGGACTGATGGAGATTTTTTCTGAGCACAATGGATATGGGCAATAGTGAGATGCAGAAAAGAAGGAAACTGAGGGAATCGCTCTGAAAAATACTCCTTCTGAAGGTGACCGGTTCTGTTGGGAGAGTGGTATCAGTTGTTCCAGGTCTTCCCCTTTTATGTCGGGTGTCGCAAGGTATCTGAGCAAAAGCCAGATAATCTCAGGAAATATTTTAATAAATGCCTTGCCGTGTTAGGCCCAGGGCATAAAGAGGTTAAGCTTTCAAGTTTACATTGTAAGGAGTCCTGCGTTACACATCTACGAGTACCAATGAGCAAGTTCTCTTTACATACAGCGACTCTTTCACCTGCTCGTGTATCCGATAAAATATACTCGGTCAACCTCAACATGTGTTGAGGTTTTCAGACTGTTTACATGATAAAAGTATTTACGAAAATATCTAAGATGGATTTCAATTGGATTTGGCTGATCTGTCGAAATTCTATAGAAAACCCACTTATATGTAAAACAGGATAATCAAAATATACAAATACATGGTTAACCTTAAAAATATTATGATTTCAACTTAAATTTGAAAATTTTAACTGAAGATTATATCGATGGTATAACAACTTGATAAGTTAAATCCGATATAAAATCATTTAGAAATACCAAGTTATTTCATATGTAATAAAGACATATCAGAAAGCAATTCAGTTGATCTTTTTTCGAAAGTTACGGGTCTAGAGTTTCTCGTGAAATGTTTCACTAATGATGCCAGCATTCATATTGAGGGTGTTTTCTAAAGTTCAATCGTATTCGAACGTATATTCAAAATGATTTCTAGTAACGTCATCAATAATAATATTCGCCAGAATGGAATGGAATGGAATTCGCCTATACAGGGTATTTATTAAACATGTGGCAAAAATTTAAGAGGCTATTCCTTGGACTATTCTAAGGATATGTTTGTCCTTTGATGATTTTTGATAAAGCGCTTTGTTTCGAAGATACATAGCGAAAAAGGATTTCGACAGTAACAACTTATTACCAAAAATTACATGTAATGTTTCTTAGTCTACAAGAACTATTGAAAATGACTACCCCGCTCGAATGCAAGAATCCAATCATCTCCACATCGACTCCTGAACTCTTTCAAAAACACCAGGATCGTTTCTGCGTTATACCCAGCAAATTGAATATCTGCAGCTATTTTTAGTAATCGGAATGTTGTTGATAGGTACCTACTAACGGAATTGTTAGATTTTTTATTACTAGGTAGGTCCAGTGTAGTTCGCTATACTTTTATTTCGTTAATGATTTCAAAATTACCAAAATTGTTAGTATCAAAGGGCAAAATATCCTTAGAATAAGCCAAGGAATAGTCCCATGATTTTTGGCCTCATGTTTAATAAACACCCTATATAGCGGGAATCGGTCAATAAATCAATTCAAGTCCATGCCAACTCCCCTGTATCTAGTTCAAAAATTCACATAAATGTCATTACAATATCATATAAGCTCTCTATGTATTTACCTGTTTGAATACTGAATATAAGTTTGCTTTTACTCGTATGTGTAGTAGTTAATTGTAGTTTTTTGTAACACGTTAATGCATGAATTATAACTGAGAATTATTATCTAATAAAAAGCTGCATTGTCTATTGAATATATTGAATACATTGCTGCATTGTCTATTGAATACATTTTGAATGTACATTCTGAGAGAATATTATAAATCCCCAAACCTACCCTCACTTATATTTCTGACGTACTTGTTATGTTACTTACTCATAAGCCCATGAAGAAACTATAATGAAAAAATTCATTTATCATCTTGCATTTTCAAAAATATAAAATGCCCAATTCAGTCATTAGTTATACATTTATTTCAGAGGTGAGCCCTTACGCTGAGGGAATAGTTCAAGATAATCCAGTTTTTGGAATTTACGACAGAAACGGAGTATTTCGAAGAGTTGCTTTGCCTATTTCTTATCCGAAACCAAAGAAAGATAGAAGTCTGAGCTTTTCTTATGGAGATTTTGGGTAAGTTGTCAGTTCAACTTCAGTTGTCAACGTCAAAAGTATTCAACAGGGTTTTTACGGGATAAGGGAAGTTTAGCTCCTCCTTTTCAGAAAGCGATCCCGTTCTGACATATTACGTGTCGATGAAGATGTGGGCAGGCATAAGCGAAGTATTAGTAGAGTAGAGTAGAGTAGAGTTTATTCTCTTGTGTGACAATTAAAAAAAATTGTATACAGTCGTCAAAAAAATAGTAAAAGGAAAATTTTGTACTTGTCTCTGACGGAAGCAAGAAACTCTTTGGAAGGTTCGAACATTTCAATCTAGCAGACCACTATTATAATATTCATGCACTCATTGTTCACTGTGGTTCTGGCGTTGAATTTGGTCATTATTGCGCCTTGGTCAAAGACGAAACGGATTGGTTCAAGTTTGACGATAGTCGTGTCACGAAGTGTTCTGGCGATGCATTGAATCTATTGGAGCCTCTGGAGACACCCTACATTTTGCTTTATAAGAGAGAGGACATTGGTAGATCAAGAACTTCAGATGATGTGGTGCTGCAGGTTTTTCCGGATTTTCCTGCAGCTGAAAAAACAAATGTGCCACTGCAATCAATGAAGTCGCCCCGGAGCGTCAATTAATTTTTATTGTTGTTTTTATTTTTATTTTTATCGTTGTTATAATTAATGTCATATTTGAAAAAATACGCCAAAATATTCTCAACGTCCACTTCTACCCACCTCTTCAGATGAGTCGTTGTGAGCAAAGAGTGCAGGTAGTTGGTGTACTCTTTGGTTGTGAGCTTGCCGCAAGCGAAAGTAATGATGTCATAAGTGGCGTTTTCGAGGCGACCACAACGACCGCGGTCATTATGTGGAACGGTTAAAGGAGCATTTTGATCGTTGTGAGGGCTTAGTGGAACGCACGGAGATAAAACAATATTTTCCACTGTGAGAATTTCATACTGATATTGACGTTTGGGGGGAATTGTCGACAGTATTTAATATGATTGGTTGATTTCAACTCCATTTCGAAATAAATAATAAGCAATGAACCTTTTTCCTGAAGTACGAAAAATCACTCACTAGCAGCGCTAGTAGTAGTTCGGTAGGGACAAACACTGCCTTGCCTAATCCTCATGTAAACATATGGTAAAGTACAATTAAAAAAGAATATTTTTAACAGAAGAAAATGTTCCTGGAGCAAAACTAAAATTTGCAACTGTAAAGGATAAGAATGTTGTAACCGATAAATAACCA